GTCTTTGCAGATGTAATGAACTAAAATAAGGTCATTCTAGATTAGGGTTAGCCCTAACCCTAATGATTGTGGTCTTTATAAAAGAAATGAGAGGGTGATGTGGACATAGAGACAGAGACATACACAGAGGGAAGATGATCATGTGAAGACAGAGGCAGGTGTTGGACTGATACTGCTACCACCAGCCAAGGAATGCCAAGGTTGCCAGCCACTCCCCGATGCTAGGAAGAGGCAAAGAAGGCTTCTTCACCAGAGAGTTCAGGGGAGGGTGGCCCTGCCAGTACCTTGAGTTCCTCTTCTGGCCTCTGGAACTGTGAAAAATACACTTCTGTTGTTTTTGCCACCAAATTTGTAGTAATTTGTTATGGCACCTAATTTGTGGTAATTTGTTATGGAAACTAACTTAACTTACCAATTAAGTGTAGTAATCTTCCCCCAGTTGTGACAAAGCAAAATGCTTTCAGACATTGGCAATCGCCCCTGTGGGGCAAAACTACCTGCAGTTGAGAGCCACTGAACGAAATAGAACTCTATTGACTGGTCTAACAGTTGAAACATTTGACAAATCTACATTCTTTAGAAAGAACAGAAATCTTAGTTATTAACTTTTGGGCTTTTATTTTTTAATAAGCTTTTATTTGGCATAGGTTTTACTAAAGTGTCTTAGTGACCCATGGAGAGGTGATTGGAAACACAAGAGTTTCCACGTTGCCCTTCGAAATGTATATTATTGCAAAGTTTTATTTTTGAAAAAGATCAATTTATTTCCATTCCTATACCATCTGGTTTTTAAAATAGTTGTACAGGAAGGGTAAAAGTGTACATTGTGCTTGTCAGTAGGCCTCCAAAAAAAAAAACTTGTCTGTAAAGGCTACTTGTCCAGTAGTTTCCACACTAGGCAGAAAATTTCAAGAGTTCGAGTTCTCTGTGTGGACTATTATCTGTCCCTGACTTAGAAAGTCTGACTTATAAATGTCCCCATCAGGGGAACTAAATTTTTTTGCCAAGCGTTTTTGTTTTTCTTCTTTTTTGGATGAATCTCTGGAGTATGATTTCCAGGACTCAGAGGTGCCTTATTTCTTTTCTCTTCTTTCTGTTGCATTTATGGACAGGGGATAGGGATACTCTGTTCCTAAAACCCAGAATTCTCCGTATGTTGTATATAATCAGTATTTTACTTAGTAATTAGGTATTTTAAAGCTAAGATTTAACCATATCATGGCTTACGTGGCCTTTACAATTTTGCATGGGATCACACGGTTATTTATAATATTGCTTCCACGAAGAAATATATTCTTATTTCCAAATCTCTATTTCATAAATAATATATAATATTCATTCCTATTAGTGCTTTTGTAATTGGGTTGTACATTTATATTGCTGTATATCAGAATGTCAAAATTATGATTTATTAAGTACCGCAGTTGATAGCAATCAGTATAGAGATGAGAAATATAAAGAATATTTATTTTAATAGTTGCTTCTTACACTTCTTTTGGAATGAAGTTCAGACCTTTTCAATATTTTAACATATAATAAAGGAATTTGGGGAGCTTTAGAGAGAATGTTTATTCTTAATCAGAGATGTAGTTGCATTTATTTCCTGATTTTAAAAAGCTAATCTTAAGACCCATGAAGTTTTCTGGTGTTACTTATTTTTCTTCCCAATTTACTTCAATTAAATGGAGCCCTCACAGTGAAATATGTGAAAATGTTACCTTAATATCTTTAAGTAGAATTGTAATATTTATTTCACTTGAAAGTGTTAATAGAATAAATTATAAGCCCTTCTAGCAGCATGTATTTTAAAATATATGAAAAACATCTAAGTAGAGACAATTTTGCTGTTTCACATAACATTATAACAGGTTAAAAATAAGATGTTACTTAATTCTTTGATGCAATAGTTTTATGCCTTATCTACCCTGCAAAGGGAGGAAAAAATATTTTAATCTCTGAAGCAACTATTTGATGCTACTCTTTCATGTTGACATTTTTGCCTCTACCTGTAAAAGAATGCTACATGGATATGTTCCAGCAATGATTAAGAAAGGGTGAGTTTGATAACTTGAGAAATGCATGTTATGATCTTGGCATCATCACTCATATTTATACAACTTTTCTGATCCTCATTTTTTTCCCTATCAGATGAGGTTTACGGTGGAGACATATTTTCAAAGCACTGAGCTGGGCATATGGCATTTGAAAATCCGAAGTAACAAGTCAGTGACAGAACTTGGATTAAGACCCCAAATTTCTTCCTCTCCCTTTTATATTTCTTTTTGTGACTCAGCTAATCCTTTCAGGGAAGTATTGAAACCACATCTGCTTGAGTCTTTGGCCAATTTCTTTTAAACCCCAGTGTTAGCTGAATGAATCTCCTGCCAGCTGTCCTCCAACTGAAAGTAATAAGGTTTACATTCTCACTTTTTTGGTTAGAAAATATTTCGTCTAAACAAAGAACTTTTATGGTCCTAATACCGTCTATAGGCTGCCCTGCTTTTCCATTCAAGGCATCTCTGTATATTGCCTCTGTAAGGAACTTTTCCCAAGGCAAAAACCACACAGCAGTTATACGTGTTCTTTTGCACGTGGGGCTTGTTCAGTGCAAACTGGAGCTGGATCAAAATTAATGCCTTGAAGGGAATATGAAATTAAGGCAGGGCTGGTGTTTGGTTTATGGATATCTGATTGTATTTTTAGTATGTGAGCCAGCAAGTGGAAAGGGCCTCAACAGCTAGTATATTCTGGAAATACGCAGACTTCTCTACCTCTGGAATCTTGTTTTCTTCCTTTCCTATTCCTTCAACTGCCATCAGCTTAGACTCTGCCAAAGCCAAACTTGGACTCCTTTTCTCTCCTTGTCCTAACACAGGTCCCGGTTGAGCCCATCCATGACAAGTGCTAGTGATCAGAAAGGGAGAATAGCCCCAGCCTTGGAGCTCAACTTCCTGGAATTATCTTCACTCCTCTTCCACCTCCAGGCCCAGGCTTCACACTGTAGCTCATGTGCCAATTTATATAAAATATACTGGCTAGTTATAGTCAATACTATGCATTAATGGGTACTGCTCTGAAATTTTAATAATTCTCAATCTCAAGTCATGGGCCTAAACCCCGACTATTACGATCCATATGGCCCAAGTGTGGGCAGCTTCATACTCCCTATCAGCATCAAGTGTGCATCAGATACTGTATATACTCACTTAAGTGGCACAGGAATAAGAATTACAGAATTTTTTTTCGGCTTATGTCACTCCTATACTGATACTGTAAACACCAATAATAAATGATGCTGGAAATCTCAAAAAAGTTATGGGCTTGTTTCAGGGGTAAAGAGTATAGTAAGACCCCTTAAGATTGTATCCTGCTCTGTAGTGGGGTATGCCTGGAGAGGAAAGCAAAGATATCAAAGCTTATGTTTTGCAGACTTCACAGAACAGATGATATAGTAGAATAGCTGTTTCCTTCTCATCCACCCCCTCCTGGCTTCCTGTTTATGAGTGAATAACATCTGCCTTTATCTTCCTGAAATATTGTGTCTTTAATGTAACCCCTAAGTATGCTATCCTCAAAATAGAAACAAAAAATTTTCATTAGGAAAATAACATTTATGGTAGCCTTTTGTTTAAGCTGTGTGTGTGTTGGCCAGGGGGCGGGGGGCAGTGGTGGTGGTGAGGGAGTTAGGGAGGAGGGAGAAAGAGAAGAGGAGGTGATGAGAAGAGAGGAAGAATGAGAGAATATTGGTAGAAATAGGAATGAATGAATGAATGGATGAATGAATGAATGAATACTGGATGTGGGTGGAGGAAAGATTTTGTATACTTGATAACCCAGTGAGAAACTCAGGACGTATTTTTCCTGTATAATCACTGTCAGAGGGTAGTCTGATTCAAAATGTTATTTAAGAATTGTTTTCATGAGAAAGCCCATTACAACTTCCAAAGCTGTTAGAGGTGATTAAGCCATTGGAACACAGGAGAGTTAGGTTCTGCTAGATACATTATTTTATTAGGCAATATTGTAAAAGCCATGTTCTAGAGCTAATGTAACAAAAGTGATCACTAATTAATTTTGATAACATTTTTCACACATATAAGAAAATGAAAGAACTAGAAATCGAATCTTGTACTAGAAATAACTTTCTGAGCAGATTATTTTTAAAAAGTGCAATAAAAACGACTCGGATTTAATTTAAATAATGCAGCCAAGTTTACAATAACAAGCCTCATCCCCCGCTTTTCTGACTTGTTTGCTAGAGTTGACTAGTTTCCTGGGAGGTAAGGTCTGGTACTCTAAAGTAAAAGGAACAGTAGGCCTTGTAAAAAAATAAAGTACCTTCGAAGAGAGTGAGAGAGGTAGAAATAGAAACCTTTTTTCTTTAATGCAAGTTTTCAAAAAAGGAGAGAGAAGTGACAGAGGCAGAGGAAACCGGCATTCAGGTGACAGAGGGCATGCCTCTTGGTAACCATAGCTGCCTCTTGGTAACCATAACTGGAAAACAAATAGCAGCCCAAACTTGCCCATCAGCTATTTCCTCTTCTCTGTCCCCTGGTGCCCAGTGCTATCTGTTTTTTTCTTTAATAACCTTTATTAAGGTTTGCCTGTCACTGTTTCTACTCTCATCTTCTCTCTACCTCTTCATGTCTTTCCATTTTCTGGCTCTCTCATCAAATACCTCGATATCTTCAGTTTATTTACATTTTATAAATAAACTCTAATTGTAGTATAAAAATGAAAGATTTTATTTAAAAAAAAAAGCCATCTGATGTAAGCCTGTAGGGATTTTTAGGTTGAAAAAGAACAAAAAAATCAGAATTTTTTCATATTTAATAGCCTAATATAGCTCTAAATTTCTTTGAAGTATGTAAGACTGATCTTCCTGAAAACACTATTTTTCATTAATAGTTCACAACAGTGTTTTAGCTGTTGCAAAGTAGTTTTTGGGTAGTCATTTAGCCTTGGTAAGAGTGTGTAATCATTTGTTCTTTCTCTTATAGATTCACCTTTTACAAGTCCACCTGTCAGAGAAGAAATGTTGGAAAAATATTCTAACTTTTCCTTGGAGAATCATAACATATCATTGACTGGTAAGTTTATCATGTTTCAAATAATGCAATTCCAAAATAAGGGTTTAAATAGTTTTTCTTAAACAAAGCTACTACGTTTTGCTTTGTGAAGTGGTAATCACTGTTCATGGCCTGGTGGGAGAAACGTAACAGTAGTGTGCTGGGAATCAGTGTGGTGAGGACATTGTGCACAATGGAGGCCAGTGTTCCAGACATGCTGTGGCCAAGAATGGCTTCCCAGAAAACGGATACCTGAGAAAAGGGAGAATCAATTTTGATTTGCAGATACTCTTATATTTTCATTAATTCCTGCTGGCACATCCATTACGTCACTCTAGGTCAAGAAGAGAATTTGTGTATCAATTGGAAAACCGTTAGCCGGAGAAATTAAAGATGATATCAAATGAGTCAGTGTGCCAAGGAAAAGCAAGAAAGGAACTCCAAAATTAAACCCCTGCTTTCTCTGCTTTTTCTTTCACAGTTTTGGTTCCAGTGTTTCCAACGTAATCTTAGTTTTTAAAATTCCTAAGAGTCATTAATCTGTTTTAGTAACAATATTAAAATTGTATATTTAGAATTTAAAATATCACAGTCCTATCTGTTAAATTAATCATTAATCATTAGATTTTAAATTAATCATTAGATTTTTCCAAATACACATTCAGTTTTTAACTGTCTTCTAGTCTTGTGAACTGTTTCTTTATTTCTGTTTAATATGAATAGAAGGGGTGTGTGTGTGTGTGTGTGTGTGTGTGTGTGTGCGCGCATGCGCGCGCACGTGCACCTGTGTATTTCTCAATCTGATAACAGTGGAATGTTTGCATTAAGCTTTTTGGAGGAGCATTTTTGTGTCTTTTTGCAGCTTTTGTTTTTTTCCCAGATGTCCCTATTCCAATGTATGGAGTTCATTCTTGTAAAAAATAATTATAACATTTCTACGTTCTTTTACTTTTTGCATGTTCTAGTTGTTGGTTGCCTCTGTTAGGATGAAATGTTTCTTTAAGAGACTCATGTGAGAAAGCAATTTGCACATTCTTTAACCAGCCTGGCAATGTTGGCGTCAGGGCACCCCTTACTTAACCAGTACAGCTGGGGCCTGGAAACAAAAGGGTCAAGTCTCAGGGCAGGAGCAAGAAATAAACTTTTAATTGATGCTAGGCTAGTTATTTACTTACTTAACTTGTTTGGAGGGTTTAACTCCTATTCTTTTATTCTAAATAGTGCTACTTAAAGCAGTATTCCCACAGTTAGAGACTAATGGTTTGCAATTGTCCATTACTTATCTCTGCCTTGGCTTGATCAAACTTTAGTCTGGCTTTTTTTTTTTTTTTTTCCTTACAGATCACTGAAATGTGGCTTGCCCTAAGGCTGAGCAAACATTAAAATGAAGAACATCTTGATAATTGGCTGACTGCAGCCTGATCATGCTGTCTGTGTACACTCTTTCATTTGTCCAATTTCCCTAAAAAGTTCCTGCTTGTCTTCTTATCCTTCTCTATATTAGAAGAAGCCTTTTTCTGTTTACTTTTGCGATGCTTGCAGATCTTAAGTTTGGAGCTTTTTCCCTATTGCAGTAGTCTATTTTTTTTTTCTGGAGTTTCGCTCTTGTTACCCAGGCTGGAGTGCAATGGTGCGATCTCGGCTCACTGCAGCCCCTGCCTCCTGGGTTCAAGCAATTCTCCTGCTTCAGCCTCCTGAGTAGCTGAGATTACAGGCATGCGCCACCACGCCCGGCTAATTTTTGTATTTTTAGGAGAGAAGGGGTTTCACCGTGTTGACCAGGATGGTCTCGATCTCTTGACCTTGTGATCCACCCGCCTCAGCCTCTCAAAGTGCTGGGATTACAGGCGTGAGCCACCACGCCCGGCCTTGCAGTAGTCTTTTTAAAAATAATATCTTCTGGACGGGCACGGTGGCTCACGCCTGTAATCTCAGCACTTTGGGAGGCCGAGGTGGGCGGATCACTTGAGGTCAGCCTGGCCAACATGGCGAAACCTGTCTCTACTGAAAATACAAAATTAGCTGGCATGGTGGTAGATGCCTGTAGTCCCAGCTACTCAGGAGGCTGAGACAGGAGAATCACTTGAACCCAGGAGGTGGAGGTTGCAGTGAGCCAAAGTGAAGCCATTGTGTTCTAGCCTGGGGAACAGAGTAAGACTCTGTCAAATAATAATAATAATAATAATAATAATAATAATAATAATAATAAAAGTGTCTTCATTTAAGTTTGGATTTGTTTTTGACAAAAGAAAAGATTTGACATTAATTTGGAAACATTAGATCTCAGAATTGGGCACTGAATGGTTAAATTTCCATGTAGGTTATTACTCTAGTTGCCTTCCCATCAAAAAGTTTGGTCTTAGAAACTCCTTTACTGAACTATAGAATTTAAATATGAAGATCTATTTATAATTTTGAGTTTCAAGGTAATATAAAAATATAGAGATGAATCTCTAAACAAAATGTTTTATTTGGTAGAACAGAATTGCAGTTCAGTGCATACACAGAGAATGGAATGGTCTTCAGTATGACTGAAAAAACAAAAAGAAGCTTAGGGGTTTTATTAGAGAGAAATGTTATATATTGTTTTGGAAGAAAACTCCTCACTAGCAAAGTTTTTTGGAGCTGACAAGCTCTGAAGTGCTTGTGGTGGGTAAATTAGTCTTAGAGTCATGGCAGTTTGTTTCAGAACCTGTGAACTATGATCTTCAAGTCATACCAGGTCATTTCAGCAGCTGGTTTGCATTATTAGCCCTGGGCAGGTGCTTTGTGTTCCAAGTGGTTTTTGTTTTTGTTTTTGCTTTTCCTTTTTTACTGGGTGTCTGGACTCTTAATTTAGTTGGCTATAACAAGATAACTCCAATTCCTGTTTATCCATTTTCACCTTCTGAATCATAGACTTTCTTCTTACGGCTGATATTAAGATTTTTAACCTACTATGTGTAATGGAGTGTAAATGGAGTGTTTTCATATTTTCGTAACATTGTTTGTTTTGTATCAACATTGATTTTATCATTATTTATGTTTGTCTATAAACAATACTTACAACATTTCTATGTTGTTACTTAACTATTTTCTCTTTCCCTCTGGCCATTGTAGAAGTTAATCTCTCTATTAGGATAAAATGTTTCTTTTAGAGAGATTCATATAGAATATGTTAACTGTAAATTTTGGACCAGAAAGAATTTGGTCAGGCTCTTGACACACGTACTTACCCAAAGATTCTTGAGACTGGAAAACATATGGATTCTTGTGCCTAGGAGAATGAAGACATGACTTTTTATTCACAAAAGCTTTGTTGTTTACTTATTTAATATTTTTGAAATATTACTATTTATTTAACAAACTCATGATATTGACTGTGTATCATATATGAATTTCTAAATAACTTAATTAATTCTTATAGCAGCTCTATGAGGTGGGTACTGTTACTATTTGTAATTTGCAAGTGAGGAAAGAGAGGCAAAAGGGATGAAGTGAACTGACCAGGATCGCAGGCCTCGAGTTGGAGCTTACGGTCTTAAATGGAGGCAGCTTGGTGCCTGGTCTGTGCTACTAACCATTATGTTTTTCAGCCTTTCTTAATGCCCAGTTACTTATTTATTTTAACAGCATTATTAGATTAATTGTATTTATTTTGAGAATAATGACATTAGTTTTGAAATGATATAGTAAAAAACTACAGAAATAAACCATTTTAATTGCTTTATTACTAAATAGGTTAGTTTTAGAAATTACATTTACTACCTGCAATCCCAGCACTTTGGGAGGCCAAGGCGGGTGGATCACCTGAGAGGAGTTTGAGACCAGCCTGGCCAACATAGCGAAACCCCATCTCTACCAAAACACAAAAATCAGACAGGCATGGTGGCAGGCACCTGCATTTCCACCTGTCTGGGACGCTGTGGCAGGAGAATTGCTTGAACCTGGGAGGCAGAGGTTGCAGTGAGCCGAGATTACACCATTGCACTCCAGCCTGGGTGACAGAGCAGTCCATCTCCAAAAAAAAAAAAAAAAAAAAAAGAAAGAAATTGCATTTTGCGTAATCATAAATTTGTGAAAGTAATTGACTTGACTGAAACTAAAAGTGTTTTTTCTGCTTTCTGGTGTTTTAAAAACAACCTTTTGATAATGGACTATTTTTATATCACTGTACTTAATTTTCCAGTATTCATAGTACTTGGAATTCATTTTATTGTTTGTATTACCACAATATATTTCTATTTTTGGTTTTTTCCTCTCTGTGTATTAGGGTTTAGTTTCTCAATCAGTGTTATAGTTTAAATTAAGAGATCGAAATAAAAAGAAATAGCTGATAGTTTCCTTGACCAGCCTGTTCAAGTTGGAATCACCTCTCCTGTGTTGAACCAATGGCACATTTTATTTACATATTGAGATGTGAGCAGCTGTCTTGCAAGGTTCTTTTGAGCCAAGTAGGTAATATATGCAGACATTAGAGGTAAGGCACAAGGTAAGATTTGGGAAAATTAGTCAACATAAGGAAAGACAACCACATTGCCTGAAGTTAGGCCTGCAAGAGATCTAGGTTAGCACCACTCAGATTTTAGGAGCAGGTGACTTAGAAGATTGAGAAGAAAAGAAGAAAATACTTTATTGCGGAGGAGATTATAGCATGACTCCAATAAGCTGAAAATGTTATGATATTTTTCAGAGGCACTCATCAAATCTGATATGTAGACTGTTGATGTACAGAGAAAAAATATTGAGACCTAACGTTCATAGAGAGTCAGAGAAAGCAAAGATGGAAGAGGGATCTACCCATGGCAACACAAGTGGCAGTGGCTATGATAGACTTTTGTTCTATATCAGGTTTCTTTTTATTATTATTATTATTATTATTATTATTAGCAGAGGAATTGATGGTTGGGGCTGGATGATGCCTGGTTGAGGAGGTTGTTTGCAGCATTGTAAGTTATTTAACAGCATTCCTAGCCTTTAATCACTAGATCTGAGTAGCACCTGCTAAGTTGGGACAGCTGGATATGTTTCCAGATATTGCC